CCCCTTCATACTGCCCCCTCCCCCTTGTAGCTGACCATGTCTAATTGATTAGAGGGCGTCCCTGCCAACTGTGACCTTGCCAGTGCAGGCTGTGGAACATACATCTGGTTCCTGTCACATTGTTCTGGTGTGTCAGGCTTGGAGGCAGCCTGATCCATTGATGTTTTGAGTTAGAAGGCCCAGGAAAAAATGTTGTGTTTCCTGTTTCCCAACCAACCCTAGAAAAAGTTTTTTTTGTGTGGATTGCTGCAAGGGATATGAATTTTTGAGCTGATCAACCTTTTCTAGCTCCTTGATCTGACACGAGTGATGAAACGCTGTACAATTAGTTTTCCAACATTGACATTGAAAATATCAGTGTCCTCATGCAAGGTTTACCTGATAAACTGAAGTATAAGTTCAATCACTAAAGATGGCCAAAGTCTAATTTAAAAAAAAAAAAGATAATCCCTACCTACCGACCCTATTTTTTTCAGGACTGAAACAGGAAACACGACATTATATTTCCCTGGCCTAGGCATCCATTGATGTTTTGAGTTAGGGAGATTTTGGGGCTGAGCTTGTGTGACAGGAGAGTGGAACAGGAGAAGTTGGTCCCTGCAGGCTTGCTGAACTCTGCACACTACAAACTGGGCTGTAAAGTCTCTCACCTGTTCCTAACCAATCAGTCTGGCAACCGGGGCAGCCTACAGGATATGAGAGGGCCTGCATGGGGGGGTCCTGGAACAGGAGAAGTTGGTCCCTCCAGGCTTGTGACCTCTCGCACAACAAACTGCGCTGTAAAATCTCTCACCTGTTCCTAACCAATCACCTGGTCTGGCAACCAGAGCTGCCGAAACCTCAGCCTGGAGACTCCAGGATATGAGAGGGCCTGCATGGGGGGGTCCCGACAACGCTCTACGCTGGTGTGGAAACCACTCGATTACGCTTTACGATAAATTCCAAGTGGCTACTATGCATTACGTAGAATGAAAACGGCTCTACGGAAAAGGGCATACGGGCTCCCATATAAATTGCCCTGGTTCATACTTGCACCAGGGCAGGGCTCCAAATTAAAAGTGGTCCAATGGCCACTGAAATTTAGGCTGGGACAACTAAAAAGACACTCTGGGGCAATAGAAAAATAGAAGGATAATCAACATCAGAAGGTCAGCCCTTCTTTTGTTTACCAGGCACACATCCTGGGTTTTGAATCCGGAAAATTGTCTCCCAAGTGAATCAATGTGTTTCCATATGAAACGTTCTTTTGGTCCGATTTACATGGCGCAAAAATTGGAACCTTAGTGATTTCTGGGAAGGAGCTGTTGTTGTCCCTCTGACAGGATGTGTGGCACGTGAGGCTGGTTTGTGTGAGGCTGACAGGACTCTTGACTGACGTGTCTCCCACCAGTGTTTTGTGTTGTTTGAGAATTACTGATCGCTAAGCTCAGTCCAGGGATTAAAGTCTTACAACTCCAAACTCTTCACCCGAAACTGTTTGAAAACTTTAAGACAATGTGAGATACCCAGGAAGGAAAGGAAAAGAAATCTGCTACAGAGGAATAAAAACATGCTGAAATTTTTCCTTGGATGACCTTAAGTTCTGTTTCCATGGTTACTGAAATCCTGACCCCTGACCCGATGTTGACCTCTGTGCTTATGTGGGTAGAAGAAATAAATTCTGGGTAAAATAGGTTCTGTTATGTGACAAGTTGTGCTTCACAACTTCGCAATATAGGATTAGTTTCATACCGATGTATGTTACATTGTATATGTAACTTATTGTAAAGGGGGTGAAGTCTGCCCTCCATGTCCCAAATCCCCCCCCCCCAGTATACCTGCAGCTAGTAGAGCTCAGGGTTTTTTCTAAAGAGGGGAATAAGGGAGCTGCTCCCTCATGTAATCAGCTAGCTCCCTCATATTAATTTTCAGATTGAACTCTAAGTGGCTTTTTTCCATGTAAAACAAACTAGTATGACAATGCATTCTAGCTTAACATACAGCTGTGTTACTCTTGTAAAAAAAATCCCTCCCTCGCCATGCGATCTGCTCCCTCATACTATTTTTTTCTAGCTCATTCATAACGTTACTATGGGTAAAGTCTGCCATCTCTGACTGTAGCATTACCGTTTTTCTGTTCCCCCCAGTATACCTACAGCTAGTAGAGCCGATGCATAACGTGACTATTGGGTAAGGGTGTGAAGTCTGCCATCTCTAACCCCCACTGTTCTCCCCCCAGTATACCTCCAGCTAGTAGAGCCGATGCATAACGTGACTATCGGGATGGGAGAACGCGCCGTCCTGCGATGTAAGGTGGAGGGTGTCCCGGCGCCGAACTTCCGCTGGTACAAAAACGACGCTCCACTCACCTCGGAGAGACGCAGGATACAAATACGCAACTACAGGTAATTGATTATCTTTCCATTTTTTATTGTATTATTTCCATTTATTGGTTATATTTAATTTTGTATAGTTCAGAGTTTAGAGGAGGAGGGCCTTGTATAAGCATTCCATGTTTCTCCCCTCCTCCTGCACCTGTTTTATCCTTGTTTTGTATTATTATTGTCTGTTTTGTTTATGTGCAAACTAATAAAATAAAAAATTCATATATTTCCAGCTGGGGTTCGCGGTTACGGATAAAGAAAGTGGACACCCACGACACGGGTTACTATCGCTGTGTGGCCACCAACGGCCAGGACCGCGTCTCCACACAAGCAATACTCTATGTTAGATACATGGCAGGTCAGTGCACAGACAAACAAACACACAAACACTCGGGGTTCAAAATAACCACCTGTGACTTGCGGAGAATGTTTCAAAAGTACCAATCTTTAATTTTCCTAAAATACCAGCCTGCATTTCTCCTCTGGTCTCTTAGAGTCACTGACGAAAGCTAGTGGATGCTACCTGAAATGTCTGACCGTTTCCAAAATCATATCCAGTAACTGTTGCTTGAGTAACTGTTTTTGGCGCAACTTGCAATTCACACACAGTTTTTAGGACTGACAGGTGAAATGTAATGCATTTTATTTAAGTTTTTGTGCAATTTTGTAGGATGTCAGAGAAATTTTCAGCAATTGAAAGAAAAACTTGCAACATTGCAGTTCACAGAAAAAGAGTATTTTGAGCCCTTCCCACAGACAGAATCTCGTGTTTTGTTGCGTCAGCTGTCCCTGGGAGCTTCTGTGACATGGGTACACCTCAGGCCTCCAGCCTCCTTCGCTAATCAGAAATTAGGTTTAGTGCACCCAAATTGGAGCTACGCACCCAGTTTTTTTTCTGTGGATAATCAGAAATGAAACCTTCCATTTCTGTCTCACAAAGTTATGTGTGAAATGTTGGGGAATGCAGCAGAGGTTCAGGGTTGTGGAAGTGGCAGGGAATGTTCAGGAGAATGCAGCTAAGGCTGAGGCTTGTTAATAAGCCTGAGGACCAGAAATGTTGGGGAATGAGGCTGGTTCAGGGTTGTGAAAATGACAGGGAATGTTCGGGAGAATGTAGCTGAGGTTCAGGGAAATTGCAGGGAAGGTTGAGGGTTGTTAAGAAGCCTGAGGACAGTGTGAAATGTTGGGAAATGTAGCTGAGTTCAGGGAAATTGCAGGGAAGGTTGAGGGTTGTTAATAAGGCTGAGGACCACCCTGGAGGGAGGAAGCCTGGCAGCCATGGCATGAAGCCAACCGGGGAAGTTTCCCTCCAAGTTAGCACCTTGTCTGGCCCACATCAACGTCACTGAGACTTACAGGGACAGCAGCAGTTAACTCCAGCCAGCTTTGAATTTTTTTTCCTGTCAGCCTCGCTTCACTGTGACTGTGAGTGCTCGCAATTTAAAAAAACGGGTGCTGGTTAGAGCTCAGTGCCAGTGTCAAAGGACTAGTCGACAGGGGAAATTATGTGTAACCGACACTCTGAGGGTTAAACGTACCACATGTCACAGAAGCTCCTGTCTTGGTGTGTCCTGGTTTTGGTGTTTTTGTCTCTTTCCTTTCCGTGTATTACAAATGTGATCTGTTAACGTCAGTTTTCACTAACCCTGACTAAACCACCCCTCTAATGGCAGTGGGTTAGCCCGCATACAGCACCTATCCTTGTGCGGACTGCTCCACTTGCAGGTGGTTCGGGGGGGTTCAGGTGACGTGGTGTGCTTTCGCACTAACGGACTAATCCACCTTTCCACGGGGGGAGAGAAAGAAAGAAGCCCACAGGCACTTCAGGTGTGAAAATGTGGTCCCTTTTCTTCCACAGCGAGCAACCCCCCCGGAGCTCTGCGGTTGGTACGGCCCATGAACAATGAGACAGTCCAAGTCGGGAACAGGGCAAACCTGAATTGCAAGGTCGCGGGGATGCCCACCCCCGTCTTTAGGTGGTACCGAAACGATGCCCCGCTTTCTGCCGAGAAAAACCTTCGGATAGACATTAGAAATTACGAGTGGGGTTCGCGCCTGAGAATCAGGCACGTGGAAACGCAGGACACGGGATATTACCGATGTGTAGCCTCCAACGAGCATCAGTCCATTGCAACCACGGGTATTCTCTATGTAAAGTACATGGACGGTAAGTTCCCATCATGCATTTCCTCTGGGTGAAAGGTCGTAGGTGAAAGGTCGGCGGCCGACCTCTGACCCTGATAGAGTAGGGCGTGGTTTTGGTTTCTCTCTCCTGACCTTCGACCTCCGTTTCTGTTTCCTTTTTCTAACCAGTTTTTAGAGGTGCAGAGCATTTTCCCAGCTGAAGTTGCCTTTTTTTTTGTTTCAATTTTTTTTAAAGGAAACTTTTTTTCCCATTTTTGCTTCTGCTTTTTAGAAAGTTCCAAGTTTGCTGCTTTTCTGTAAAACCCTGAAGGCAGACTTCCACCCAACCTGTCCCTCTCTCATTCTTAACTGTCGCTTATTTAAACTTGTTAGTGTTTGTCCTGGTGTTTTATTCGTTCATGTAGGAAATGACTAGACGTGATCAACTGTACAACAATGTCATGTCCAAGTGTTTCTGACTGCACATTGATATCTGAATGTGGCCTGGGTACCATCCTGGTTAGTTTACGTCCGCTCCGGTAGTTGCTACCCACCAACATTAGCGTTTATCGGAGTGGAGATAAACTAACCAGGATGGTACCCAGGCTAATGCGAGTCCCAACATAATGCCTATATACATTACAACAAATTTGTAATGTATATTCTTGTGTTTTCCCATGTATATTGTGTATTTTATATGTAACCCCAGGGATACCTGAAAAACAGGTCCGTAGACCTGAGCGTATTACTCTGGTTAAATGAAATTAATGAAATGAAAATAAATGCCTCCCTAAAAGCTATGACAGTGGACTGTTTTCGAATCAGTCTACACTGAATTTTCACAACGAACCAACAGCATGAGTGACAAAACTGAACAAAAATAAGGCTTGGACCAGGAGTAACAATGTGCAGTTAGGGTTGTTTGAAGTCATTTTCATATTACTTTGTTTGTTTGTTATAAATTCACTGACTTGCTACGCTAACTTTGTCTCCTGTTTGCCTTACAGACTCGCACACACCTGCCACGTCAAGCGGTGAAATGTAAGTTCTGTTTCTTTGCTTCTTTAAACATTCTAAGCAAGAATCGCAGTGCATTATGTTCTACAGCGAGCTCTTTTCTCTAGGATCTTCCAGTAACATCGGGGAGAAAGTCAAGCACTGTATATGAGTGTTAAATTTTATTTGCCATGTTCTGGAAGGAACTGAAAGTTTTCCTGCTTGTTTGGTGACGTAATTAATTAATTGTTTATTGAGAAATCAAAGCCCTTCACGGCCTCACAGCTTAATTGTGGGATTTGTGCCTTAAACTTCAAGTCATGGAAATGTTGATTATGACAACTGTAGTTAAGTGTGACTTTGTTTTTGTTGATGGTATTTTATTTGCTTACACAGGGGGGTTACTATCAGCTATAGATACGTTGTACAGTATTGTGATGTTGTTGTTGGTTGTTCCAAAGGGGGGTTATTGTCAGCTTTTGATAAGTTGTACAGTATTGTAAATTAAATGTTGTTGATGGAGTTTCTATTTTTCCCCAGGGGGGGTTATTGTCAGCCATAGTTATGTTGTACAGTATTGACATGATTGTGATGTTGTTGTTTATTTTTCCCCAGGGGGGGTTATTGTCAGCAGTACCGAGGTGCCGCCTGCCGTAAGTTCATCGGAAACGCCACAATCTACATGGACACTCTCCGGGCTCAGGGTCAGTCATTTTAGGCATTCTAGTCTGACTTCTGCAACGTTATCACTGTCCAGATGGTTTGGCTGAACCTTCAGAACTAATGTTACAGCGTACAGGCCATGAATGTAAAGTTAAACATAACTTCATAAGATTGTTCCACACACATATCTAAGTGTTAAGCCTAGAGCACCAGTTGGTGCTTGTGTGAGGGCAACAGAACAGACTGAGTAGAGAAATCCATGCACAGGCTTCACTTGGGAAGTAGAAATTGTAAAAGTTGCTGACATTTTTTTAAGTATTTACTAGGCATTTAAGTGTTCTTACAATGCAGGCTTAATTTTGTTCTAACACAAGCATGATTTTTCCAGCAGGTATAATAGAGAACCAGCTGATGGTTGTTTGTTTGTTTGTTTGTTTTTCTGTAGCGCTGTGCGGACTACGCGATCCCCTCGCTGTGCCACTTTACTCATGTTTGTTTGTTTGTTTGTTTGTTTATCCGGCAGGTATAATAGAGAACCAGCTGACAGCAGCGTTCACAATGATCGGTACGTCCAGCGAACTGACCAAGCGCTGTGCCGACTACGCGATCCCCTCGCTGTGCCACTTTACTCATGTTTGTTTGTTTGTTTATCCGCAGGTATAATAGAGAACCAGCTGACAGCAGCGTTCACAGTGATCGGCACGTCCAGCGACCTGACCAAGCGCTGTGCCGACTACGCGATCCCCTCGCTGTGCCACTACGCCTTTAAGTACTGCGACGAGCACTTCCCCTACCCGCAGCCGCGCCAGCTGTGCCGAGACGAGTGCGAGATCCTGGAGAACGACATCTGCAAGACGGAGTACATCCTGGCCAAGACGCACCACCTCATCGGGGAGTGGATCCTGCCGGACTGCTCCGAGCTGCCGCTCATCGGGACGCCCGAGTCCGCCAACTGCATCCGCATCGGGATCCCCACCATGTCCCACATCAACCGCAGTAAGTACCGCGTTACCATGTTTACTGTTACCATGGTTACTGTTACCATAGTTACCAAACCCACTCATCGGGACGCCCGAGTCCGCCAACTGCATCCGCATCGGGATCCCCACCATGTCACACATCAACCGCAGTAAGTACTGTGTTACCATGGTTACTGTTACCATGGTTACTGTTACCATGGTTACCATAACCCGCTGATCGGGACGCCCGAGTCCGCAAACTGCATCCGCATTAGCATTCCCACCATGTCACACATCAACCACAGTAAGTACCATGTTCCCATGGTTACTGTTACCATGGTTACTGTTCCCATGGTTACTGTTACCATGGTCACCATACCCATTTCCATGCCAGCCTTTGCCAACTGTGGCAACAGGCCTTAGCACCTCCTTATATAGAGGGACTTTATTTTATAGAGTTTATGAAGGTCACTGACCTTGTTTGACCTTTAACCTCTCCCCCCACAGGTCACACGTGTTACGAGGGGAAGGGCGGTGGTTACCGGGGAACGGTTGCCATGACGAAGTCGGGGATCCCGTGCCAGGCGTGGAACACGGAGACCCCCCACGTGCACTTCCTGCGCGCCTCGCAGTACCCGGAGCTCGCCGGCGGACATAACTACTGCCGTAACCCTGGCAACGAGATGGACACACCCTTCTGCTTCACCACCGACGAGTCCACTCGCGCAGAGGGGTGCGACATCCCCAAGTGTGGTAAGTTCCACTCCGTCTGGGGGGGGGGGAGGGGTGCGACATCCCCAAGTGTGGTAAGTTCCACTACGGAAAGGGGTGGTCTTTACTCATTATCAGTTACTCATTACAAGCAACTGGTTAGACTTTGACAGTGAAAAGTAGTGGAGGCCATTCGGAACATCCCCAAGTAGGTTCCACTGCGGAAGGGGGGTCACTGATCGCGAGAAAAGTAGTGAACGCCACTCAAAACACTTCTCAGAAGCTATCCAGTTGCTTGAGGAACTGTTTTCTTGTGTATCCCATTTACCTGGATGTCTAACCTTTATCAATGATTGTGTCGTTAGCTGTAACCCTCAGCTTGTAGCATTTCTGTGTGAATATGTTGCCCATTTCCTCCACAGTGCACTGCGTCTGAACCAAGGGGTGTTCTTATTAAGTTATGTGTGGATAGTTTCTAACCCATGTGAAAATGTCTAACCTTCATTGACATTCTGTGTCAAAATGTTGTCTGTTTCCTCCACAGTGGACTATATATGAACCAGAGGCTGTCTTTGTTAACTTGCTAACTGTGTCAATAGCATCTCAGTGTTCTCACCAGGATTTTTTCACATCATAGGGGTCAGGTACCGAAGGAAAACTTTCGCGGCGCAAGTCGTGTATTGAGCCTAAAAATTTTGAAACTCATAACCCCCTGAGACACTATTTCTTGTTTATTGAGGGACAGATTTTGTGAAGTTAAGGCTATAGCTTCATTCTAAAGTTATACTTTCATTTTATGCAAGATTTATGAAGTTTCTCCTCCCAAAACAATGCCAAAAAACTATGCTGGTTGAAAGACAGCATAGGGGGTCCAAATCACAGCATAGGGGGCCCAAATCACAGCATAGGGGGCCCCTATGCTCAAAAGGCCTGGCGAGAACACTGATAGTTTCTAACCCATGTGAAACTGTTGTCCATGTTCCGTTGTCCGTTCCTCCGCAGTTCGCTATCTTCCCGGGCGGTTGAACCGGCTGAACAACGTGACCGTCCTGGAGGGCGGTTCGGCCACGTTCGTGTGCCGCGTGCGTACGGTCGAGGGCGGCGTCCCCCTCCCGGCGTTTAGCTGGTACAAGAACGACGTTCCGCTTTGGCCGCGCTAAACCCGCGGGTCGAGATGCGCCATTACAGGTGGGAGTCCCGGCTCCTGATTCGTCACGTGGTGACCGAGGACACCGGGTACTACCGGTGCGTGGCCAATAACGGCGTGGAGGCCGTCGGCACCACCGGCGTGCTGTTTGTAAAGTTCTACGTGACGGCGGTGAGTATGCCTCCATCTTGTCATGGTGGCAAGGGCAGTCAAGGTCGCG